TGCTCAGTGGTATTTAGAGACCAAAGATCTGGGCATAAGGTGCTTATTGTAGCTGGAGTGCTAATGTGCCAATAACAAGTGTGTCGTTTCCACCGCTGTTCATTTCTATATGTATGTAGACATAGCATATACCAGCATCTCCCCTTCCAATTCACCAATTCACTGCCATGACATTTGCCTTTTTTTTTTTTTTACAAGAGTCTCATGCAGTCCAAACTGGCCTCAAACTCATCATGCAGCTAATGATTATTTTCAAAGTTATATATTTATTATTATTATTTTGGTTTTTCTTTTCTTTCTTTCTTTTTGTTTTGTTTTTCGAGACAGGGTTTCCCTGTGTAACAGTCCTATTATTTTGGTTTTTCTCTTCTTTTTTTCTTTTTCTTTGTTTTGTTTTTTTGAGACAGGGTTTCCCTGTGTAACAGTCCTAGCTGTCCTGGAACTAGCTCTTGTAGACCAGGCTGGCCTCGAACTCACAGAGATCCACCTGCCTCTGCCTCCCAAGTGCTGAGATTAAAGGTGTGTACCCACCACTGCCTGGCTATTTTATTATTTTTTTGTATGTGAGTGTTTTGACTAATCCTGGAAGGGGCCAGAAGGGAGCAATGGATCCCACGGGACTGGAGTTACAGATGGTTATCAGTTCTGGGAATAAAATCCAGTTCTGCAAGAGCAACTGGCATTTGTCTCCAGCCCAGTAGTTGATGATCTTGACCCTCTTCTAGTCCTCCCATCTCCGCTTCTCAAGTGCTGGACTTACAGTGGTGTTGGGGATCAAACCCAGGGCCTACTCTGCCAACTAAGCCATATCTCCATTTCTTTCTTGCTTTCTTCTTTCCTGTTCATCTAGCAACGTTCTCTTTTTTTGTAGCCACTCACAGTATCTTGGGTGTCTCGTATCTGTGCTCTGCTCAGGCCTTGAAGCTGCACCCCATGACCCCTACATGTGCATCTTCTTCACTGTGGGCTCCGACAGGGGCTCAAGTCGACTCCATGGTGGCTGACCTACCTCACTTTGGCCCTCTCTACCTCTTCTTCCTCACTACACTCTGACTCTAGCTATTCCCTCGTGTGCGTGTCCTCTTCATTCCTTCCAGCTGTTTCTCCACGAGGCTGTCTTCCCAGAACTGCCTCATCTCCCGCTGCGCTGCCACAATACCGAGCGTCCCTGCTCTGCTCCACACAACGGCTTTCATATTGGATCATTAAGAACTAGGAAGGGAGGCAGGAGCTCCAAAAATATTAACTACAACCTGGCACAGTGGTGGAAACCTGCAGTTCCAGGGAGGCTGAGGCAGGGTGCTGTAGCTTAAAAAAAGTGGTGTGGAGAGAAAGACGCGTGCTACAGAGTTCACAGTCTCTGTCCAAGTGCTCTTTTATATGCAAAGTGTATTAACTCAACCCATGAGTACTTTTCCCCATAAAATTTTTGTTCAATTTTTTTTTATTTTATTATTGTTTTATTTTTTGAGACAGGTTCTTGCTATATAGCCAGGCTGCTGCATGCTGAGACTATAGGGTGTGCTACAATATCCGGTGGCATTCTGCATATCCTAACATGTGTACGATGTACATTGTCAGCTCTTATCACTGTGACAAAACACCCGAGACAACCAACTTCAAAATGGAAAATGGAGACAGTAGGCACCAGGGGTTGCACGCACCTGTGCCCTCCTAGTAAGGCCCCATCCCAGTCAACTCTGCCCTACCATGTAGCATCCCCTGTTGGCTGAAGTTGATGTCTGATGACACAAAGTTGCTATTTTCGGGCTGGAGAGATGGCTCAGAGGTTAAGAGCATTGCCTGCTCTTCCAAAGGTCCTGAGTTCAATTCCCAGCAACCACATGGTGGCTCACAACCATCTGTGATGAGGTCTGGTGCCCTCTTCTGGCCTTCATGCATACACACAGACAGAATATTGTATACATAATAAAGCAATAAATTAAAAAAAAAAAGAAACCGGCNTGCCTGCTCTTCCAAAGGTCCTGAGTTCAATTCCCAGCAACCACATGGTGGCTCACAACCATCTGTCATGGGGTCTGGTGCCCTCTTCTGACCAGTAGACATAGACAGGGTTTCTCTGTAGCTTTGGTGCCTGTCCTGGAACTAGCTCTTGTAGACCAGGCTGGCCTCGAACTCACAGAGAGCCGCCTGCCTCTGCCTCCCGAGTGTTGGGATTAAAGGCGTGTGCCATCATTGCCCAGCCACAAAGTTGCTATATACAGATTGGCCATGAAAGGCTGACCCCTCCTGAATCATTGTGACCCCAAGCACAGCACACATCCGTTTTGTGACTGGTAATAAAATCTTGAGAATTCCTAAATCCAAAGGTCTTGCCCCCATCTCCCTGAGGATCAGTACCATTTATAGAAGAAATCAATGGCTGTCTTGAGAGGAACAGAAAGGAAAAGAAAGTTAAATCCCATCCTATTCTGATAGAGAGCTGACTTTACCCACTGGCTTGTCACTATGAGACTCATCATGTGAGGCCCCCCCACCCAGACGGGAATCTGAGTCATCCCCAGCCTCTGCTCCAGCGGCATTTGTCTTGTGTACTGAAGCAATGCATCACCCTAAATAATCATTTTATAAGAGGAAAGTCTGGTGAGAAAGCTGCAGCACGGGAGCAAACTGCTCAACTCGCAGAACAGGAACCAAAGACAGGGCATGAGCTGGGGTCCCACAATTCCCTAGGTAGAGGCATACCCCTAGTGATTTAAAATCCCCACTAGAACTCCCATAGAACAACTTGTTTGTTTTTGTTTGTTTGAGACGGGGTTTTTCTGTGTAGCCCTGGCTGTCCTGGAACTCGCTCTGTATTATCAAAGATTAAAGACTTGCACCACCACCTCTGGGCTTAAGCTTTTTGTTTTGTTTTTGTTTTAAAACATGTAGGCTTGGGGCCAGCACTCAGAAGGCAGAGACAGGCAGATCTTTGTGAGTTCGAGGCCAGCCTGGTCAAAAGAACTAGTTCCAGGACAGCCAGGGTTGCTATACAGAGAAACCCTGTCTTGAAAAACAAAGAAACAAAAAAAGACATGTAGATCTTTAGTCCCAGGATTTTAGGAGGCAGAGATAGGCAGATCTCTTCAAGTTTAAGGCCAGCCAAATCTATACAGCAAGTTCCAGGATAGCCAGGGCTACATATAGATACCCTGTCTCAAAACAATTAAAGAAATAAATACACATAAACAATAAAAGCTGTGAGTCTTGTCTTGCTGGGCCTCAGAGGACTTCTGTGCACACCCTTAGTCGGAGGCTTCCAAGAAACGCTTCCTCCAGCAGGAGCAAGGAGTGTCTTAGAAAACACCAAAGCGGGTCTGGAGCTTTAGCTCAATGGTAGCGTTTGCCCAGCATGCATAAAACCCTGAGTGTGGGGCTGGAGAGATGGCTCAGCGGTTAAGAGCACTAACTGCTCTTCCAGAGGTCCTGAGTTCAATTCCCAGCAACCACATGGTGGCTCACAACCATATGTAATGAGATCTGGTGTCCCCTTCTGGCCTGCAAGCATACATGGAAGGAATATTGTATACACAATAAATAAATAAATCTTTAAAAAAAAAAACTCTGAGTGTGAGTCCCAGCTCCGCATAAGCCAGGTGTAGTGGGCACACAGGCACACGTAGTCTCAGCACTCTAGATTAGAAGTTCAAGGTCATCCTCTGCTCCACAGCCAGTTTGAAGCTAGCCGAGTTTCAGGAGGACTGTGTCACCAAAATAAATACATAAATAAACCAGAGAAAATGGCAGTCGACTCTGCCCCAAAGTCTTCCTTCCTGACAGCCCTCTAATGGGGGCCGAAGACCCTGCTCATTGGTTCAGAACCCTTCCCTACCAAGCTGCCAACTAGGCCTAACTAGTTCTCCTTGGCTCATTGGTAATTTAGGTAAGTCGTGTTACCTGCCAGGCTCCACCTAGGTTACCATTTTATAGCCAAGGACCCAGCTGCATGTCCCAGAGCCCCACACCGCGTACGGCTGCCACATTTCAGAGCGGTTTCATTTCAGTCTCAGAAGTTTACATATTGATCCGTATTTTGCCTAGAAGATTAAACAAAAATCCACAGGACTCAAAACTTAGAAGAAACCAAGGACCAGCCAGGTATGGTGTAGCACTCCTTTCATCCCAGCACTTGAAGGGCAGAGGCTGTCGATCTCTGTGAGTTTGAGGCCAGCCTGGTCGACAGAGTGAGCTTCAGGACAGCCTGGGCCACATAGTGAAAACCTGCCTCAAAAACAACAAAGGAACCAGGGACCTAGGAGCCGAAGGCGTTAAAGTGAGGTCTAAGTTGCCTCCTCATCGCATGTCCTCTTCGTTGGTCGGCACTCTGGTGGTGGTGCATGTCTTTAATCCCAGCACTCAGGAAGCAGAGGCAGGTGGATCTTGGTGAGTTTGAGGCCAGCCTGGTCTACAAGAGCTAGTTCCAGGACAGCTAGGATTGTTAACACAGAGAAACTCTGCCTCAAAAACAAACCAACCAAGCAAAAAACCTTGTACTTCCTTAAACAAAACTTGGGGTGGATACTGAGACACATAATGTGCTACCTTGAGCTGCATGGGATATGGGAGAGCAATTGGGCTATGGCTGAACCCTCAGATCTGCCTGGCCCCATGTTTCTATTGAGGCCTGAGAACTTATACACAACATACACAACTTGGAACAGCAGGATGGGGCCAAGTAGGGGAGGAGACCAAGTACTGGAGACATGGGCAGTATTAATAGTCTTTACTATACAAGTCAGTATTATTTCTCCTTAACATTCTTTCTCTTGTCTCAACAGCAAAAAAATCTCAAAACAGTTCTTTTGAAGAACTGAGGTAGCAAGTGATGGGATGAGCTACTTCAGGAAACAGTTGAGCCTAACTGTGCCCCTCCCATCCCCCAGCGGCCACCTGCAGAGACTGAGGTCCAAGTCCTGTCTCAGAAGAGGAGACACCTACAGAGATCTTATCTTCTCCAGGGTACAAGGGGTTACCTGAAGGAACACAGAGGCCAGACACTAGGTCTAACAGCTATTTTATTCCCTAGGAACAAATGCATGAGGAAACTCCAAAATGAAACCGGCGCATAGACAACAGAGTGACACCAGGGTGGCCTGGCTTCAGAGTTCAGAGGATAGCACACCGCAGAAGGAACCCGGTGAGGACACCGTCTCTTAGGTACCACCAGAGGAGGGGTGAGGTCTGTGATGTAAAAACTTGCCCCCTCTACAAAGCAGATGTTACACAACTGTCCGAGACCCAGGACACCAAAGCCTCCCTCTGAAGAACTGAGGTAGGCAGGTAAGACTGTGAGGGGGCTTGAGTGTTACAGAAAATCTGAAATCACTTTCGGGTACCCACAAACGGCTGAGATAACCCAAGATGACTTGAGAGGGAGGGAATCGAAAGGTAGCCAAGAATTTCATGCTTAAGGTGTGGGACTGGTCAATCTTGCCAAATCAGGCCCCAGGGTGGTTGTAAGAAATATTATCCCTAGCCACCCGAAAGGACTCTGGTCATACTCAATCAAAAGTCATCCTTTTCTCTGTGGATTCATTTATTTCCCCCTCGTGATGTAATTCTGTATCCCTAAACCTGATCCTAAGGGTAGGACTGGCAAGGGATAAGGAAAAACCGTGTCTAGCCCTTGCATGCTGCGGCATCCACGGAGGCATGAACAAGGTCCTGCACTGTAAGTGGGCCATGGCTGCTGTCCTGCGGGGTGGACAGACTGTCACAGGGAGGTCTCCTGGACGATGCAGGTCGGGCTGCACGGCTGGTGGACGAGGCCGTCCTCAGCCACCCTCTCCTTATCCCTGCTGTCCTGCAGCACTCCATTCCTCATCTTCTCCGGAAACAGGGGGGGGACCACAGGGACATCCTGGGGGACAGGGAGTGCAGGTGATGGTAGACAAGGGCAGAGGGAGCATGGCGGGCACAAGAACGGGGAAAGGCTTCACGTAACAATGGATCTCACCTGGCTGTAGCTTCTCCAGCGAAGCCGCTTCTGGCAGGATAAGGGCAAGAGTGAGAGGAGCTTTGGCAACACTGGATAAATGGTGCCGGGGTTCAGGGTCCGGCCCCGCATTCCCCCTAAAGGCAAAGGTGCTTGTCAAGAGCCCTTCAGAGAACCGTAGAGCAGCACACTCTGCTGTCCCTGCACCAAGGTCCCAGTCCTCCAGCCCATTCTGATGTCAGCAGGGCAGACCGGCTGTTACTGACACTCAGTATCCCAAGGGCGGGGTCCCACCTTCCCCAGACTGAAAAGTCCCCCTCAGCCCCTCATTTTGCTGTGTGGTGGTTCCAGCCCTCACCGGTGAGCAGACTGACAATCAGGCCCACGACAATGACCGTGGTGGAGTTGTGCGCACTGTACCATAAATAGGACAGGGAGTAGAACCGCTGCAGTCCTGTGGGCCTGCGGGGAGAGGGTGAGGACAAGCATTTGGCAGGGCATTCTGGAGGCACTTCAAGCCCCCCCCCGCCCCCACCTACAAGGTCTCAGAACTCAACCTAACCCTGCTTATAGCTTATGGTAACCCATCCCTCAGCAAGGCCCCCATGAAATCCCTCAAAACTGAGCTTCACACCCAAGGAGAACGAGAGCAAGCCGCGCCTCACTTGGACAGGGTGGTAGAAGGCATCAGAGTAGTCATAGTGGTGATGGTCAAGTTGCTGGGCAGGAAGGAGCTGGACCCATTAACGGGAGGGGACGCCACAGAAGAGCTCATCTTGCTCACTATGCTCCCAATGCCGATCCAGAAGGCCATGGTGAGTCCAGTCAACAGGCCTACGATGGCACCCTGCCCAGAGACACAGCCAACTCTCTTGTCACAAGGCCCACCACAAACCTCCATACCAGCCCCCAACAGTCCAGTTCCATCCACATGCATGTCTGGGAAGCCAGGTGTCACTCACAAGAGGGTTGGCACACGGGAAGAACATCCCCAGGCAGAAAAGGCCCAGCAGTGGCCCTCCAACCATGCCAAAGATGCTGAGTGCTGCCTGGAGTCGATGGAGGGAGAAAAGAAAGCACAGGCTCAGAGACTTCAGCCTCAATGTCCTGTCAATCATCAGCTGATGGTTTCTTCAGGGAGGGAAGGGCTGTGGTGATGCACTTCGGGCTGAGGCTGAGCTCTAGGTCTCTCTGGGCCAACAACATCCTAGGAATGATGCTGGGCTTTTGCTCACTTGAGAGTCTGTTCTTAGTTAAAGGGCATCTATCCAAGGACAACGTATGGGACTGGCGAGATGGCTCAGGGGATAAAGGTGCTTGCTGCCAATGCTGACACCCGAGTTCCATGTTCAGGACCCACATGGCACAAGGAGAGAACCAACTCCCAAAAACTGTCCTCTGACCCCCACTTGAGCACTGGCACGCAAGTATCCACATACAATAAATGAATAAATGTATTTCTCTCTTCTTTTTTTTTTTTTGGGGGGGGGGGTGACAGGGCTTCCTTATGTAGCCCTGACTGTTCTGGAACTTACTCCATAGACCAGGCTAGCCTTGTACTCAAGAGAGCCGTCCACCTGCCTCTGCTTCCCAAGTGCTGGGATTCAAGGTGTGTGCCATCATGTCCAGCTTAAATGTAGTCATTTTTAAAGGCACATTCCATTACTCTCAGAACAGCTGTCTTCATTTCCTAGTTCAAACATATCCCCCCATCCCTGCTGAGAGCTTCTTCCTCTTGAGGTATTACCTGGAGCACTGATCCCAGATGAGAGGAAATATAGGCCATTCCCAGGCAAATCAGTCCATAGGCAAAGGCTGGGAAGACGCAGAGGGGAGGCAATGTGAGTCAGCAAGTAGAGGGATAACACACTCCAACCAAACTACCGCTCTGTACCCCAGTCCCAGGGCCTGCTGCTCTCCCCTGAAAGCCATACATGATGGCTGTGCGCTGCTGCACGAGGCATGTGCTGAGGCCAGGACAGAGTTAGAGAAGCAATCATCCGTAACTGATGACAGTGACCAGGGTGTATCTCAAAATGAACAAGACTTAAGATACATGGAAGAATAAGCCTACCAAGGCTTCGGGAAAGCAGGATGGCCCGGGTTTCAGTCATCTCAGGGAACCAAGGCTGAATTAGGTCCTCCATGGTGACAGTTGCCAGTGAATTGAATGCGGATGATATGGTGCTGCAGAGGAGGAAAAGACGAGCTGTGTCAGGTCCGAGAGCCAATGGAGGCAGAACTAAGGACTCCACAGAGGGTAAGAAACCACCCATCGATATGGAGCCCAGGCTACTGCAGAGGGGTCTGGAAAGCAAGACGTTTCTGATGGAGTGTAGGTGTGTTCACCTAGGTGACTGACACTGTCAACTGAAGCCTGCTTTGGGAGAGGCCATCCAAAACAGATGGGACTGGTCCAGCAGGGGCACTGCAGCAGTACCTGAGGGATCCACTGAAGAGGCAGGCGACAAAGAGCCCAGGCAGCCCCGGCGTGTCCTTCAGGAGGTCCATGACGAAATAGAGCACTAGCTGCAAGGAGAGCAGACATACTCAGAGAGAAGCCTGGGCGATCTTCCTTGAGCAGGGAGGAAAGAAGCCTGGGCGATCTTCCTTGAGCAGGGAGGAAAAGGGCTCGGAAGCGCAAACTCCACAGCCCACCCAGCCCGCCGCTGATGGCCAGTGTGACCACAGCATGCTGCCTCACACACCAAGCCCGTCTGCTACAGAAGGAGGTTGTTGGGAAGCTTAGATGAGAGCAGACAGGCAGCAGTTTCCAGTGAAGGCTGGCTGGCTGCCCACCCATCAGATGGGTGGGTACTGATTAGATCTGCTCAGGACTGGAGTCTGACACTAGACAGCTGGGATCTCAGGATGGAAAAACATATTCATCTATTTTTTTTTTTTTCAATTTAGCCACACAGGTTAATTTAGGGATCCAGACTGGCTTCGCATGAGCACAGGATGGAGCCAGAGAGGCCCTCTCACCTGGTCAGGTGCTGCTTGCTCTTGCTGGGGGCTCATAGTATATTTCTTATAATAGGCAAACATGACCAGACCAATGAGGGAGCTCATGCACAGGGACACTTGTTGGCAGGGGAACACCGCATAGCAGGAACTGCAAAAGATCAGTGCCAGAAGACAGAGATGACATTAACAGACACTGTTAGACGTGCCCTCCTGAACCTCCAGAAAGACCCCAACAAAGGGGATGGCACTCTGAATCTTGTCCCACCCCACTGCTCCCAGGGACCCCATCCCCGCACTTACAGAATAGCAGCTTTCTCTGAGCGGGAGCTGAGGTAGCGTTGCACCTGAGCCTGATTCACTCCATACAAGGACAGCATCATGAAAACCCCCCCAAAGGCCAAAGTCCAGAAAGTATGACGCACAAAGGGGTCAGGATCCAGCCTGCAACAGAGATACCCGGTCACTGCCACAGCCACCTCATCTCAGGTGTGCATCCAGGCAACGTCCAGGCCTCTACACCCATGATCACTTTCTCCCTCTGCAGTATGGACTGTCTGCCTATGGTGCTGCCAGCTTTCTCTCTGCTTACTAAAGGCCCGAGACCAGGCTGAAATGGACTCAGTCCGTAGACGCTACAGGTACCAGTCAAGGAAGCACAGACTTACTCAATCCCAGAGATGAGGCCATACTGGGAAGACACGTTCCATACATGACCCAAGCCGCCCACTCTGGCCGAGCCTACAATGATAACCACCAGCTGCCCTAGGAACATGACCAGCGTTTGGAACACATCTGTCCAAATGACAGCCTTGAGCCCACCCTACAAGAAAAAAAATATCACATCCGTCACAAATGCCAAATCAACCGGAGAGGGTGGACATCACACTACCAAGAAAGCCCTTGCATAACCCCTTAAACTGTTAGTCACTCCACCTTCTCCGCCTCACCCTGGAACTGCATCCCATTTCCTGTATCTCTTCACGCTGGCCCTTCTTTTCCTTCTCCCATCTTCCCACTGTCACCCAGGTTAACTGCAATTACCAGTGCAGTGTAGATGTTGCAGACGATTCCCAGGGCCAGGACCGACAGCCATAGATCAAATCCTGTCACTGAAAACAGATAAACGTCACAATCCTACTTCTGGTAGGTTTTCCAGAGCAGTCCTGGTGAGGATAGCTACTCAGATCATAGAGAGGAGCCAGCTGGGGTTGTCACATGACTTTAATCCCAGCATTCTGGAAGGCAGAGACAGGTAGATCTCTGGGAGTCTAGTGTGCTCTATCTATACAGCAAGCAGAGTGCCAGGACAGCCAGGAATACGTAGGGACTTGTCTCAAAAACAAAACAAAAACAACAACAACAAACAAAGAAAACCCATCACAACGTGGAAGCAATTGGTCATTAGAGGGGAAACAAATCATTTCTCAACACGAGGAAAAACATTTTCAGAGCTCCACCGAAATGCCGATTAACCATTTCAGGTGTGGCCTGGTAATGTTTGATCAGCTTTCGACCGAGGTGAAGGAAGTCTCCGTCTGCCCCTCGTAGAGACCAAAAGCCCTGTCCATGTATTAGTTCTCTCTAGCCCCTCCTAACGGCATTTCTCCAGTCTGCCAAGGCCGGAAGTCGGGGACCATGACTCCTCACCTGCATTGAGGGCCAAGGAAGGTGCGTAGAGAGCAACGCCCATGTAGATCACCTGTGGGAGATGGGAATGGTGTGAAGGGGAAGAGGTGGGGTGGAAAGACAGTGTCCCCAAGGCTTGGGCTTACTTCCCTCTAATGCCTCCCAAAACCTGTCATATCTACAGTGGCATTGGACAGGATGCCATCAGGGACTTGACCAACTAGTGACTCACAGGAATTTTAATCACAACTCTGAAGGCCTGAGTTCAGCCCCTCCCCTGCCCCAGGCCCACCTACCATCTGAAAGATGAAGGTCACAGTTCCAAGGATCCTCACTACTTTATTGAAGCGGAGCTCCAGGTACTAGATACAAGTACAAAGAATTTATGTGCCTTTTAAGGCATGGCATTTCGTGACTCCAACCCTCACAATATATAACCTCTTTCCTCAAGAGGCCTAGTAACACAAGGAAATATGCAGAACATATACTCTGGACCCCCTGGGCATGGCACTCTCCAACCCCCTCCCCCAGGAAGAAGAGCTACTTGGGGCAGTCATTCTTTGGTGGAGCCGAGTCACAATCTTAGGTACCCATCCCCTTCTCCATGCCTTTCCTGTTTACCTCATAGGCACTGGTCAGATGCAGGCGGTAGAAGACTGGGATGAAGATGTGAGCGGGGATCAGAAGTCCCAGGAAGTAGGAGCATCCCAGGAACCAATACTGGGTTCCGAATCGGTAGATCTCAGCTGGTGCCCCCAGGATGGCTACTGCTGACTGGAAGGTGGCCAGCAGGGACAGTGCCACGGGAAGGCAGCCCATTTTGCGGTCTGCCAGCAGCAACTCACCAACAGTATGACGGCCCCATCCACGGCAAGCATGATAGAGCCCAATGATGAGGGAGAGAAGGAGCAACAGGCCAAACACCACATAGTCCACGACAGAAAAGGAGGAAATAACCCTGCCGGTGTCTGTGGTTGTGTGGAAGGGAGCTGAGGTGCTCTCCCCTATACTCATCCTCTCTGTGCCCGTGTTTCAGGACTTGGTATTCCTGGGCTCAGAGCTGTCAGTTCACCGACGGAGCACGTATAGGCGAATGGCTCCGAGTTGGTTCCTGGCTCGGTTTCACAGCATTCCTCTTCCAGGCAGTGACACGGTCCAAGAGCAACTGGAAGAATCCATCTCTTAGTTAAGCCTACCCTGCCCTCATGGCTGCCCACCCACAGGCTGCTGACATGTCATGGCCAGACTCAGACTAGCCAGCCAGAGCACAGTGGTGAATGCCTGCAAGGTACAGGCGGGTTTGCTAGAGGTTAGGGAGGGAGGGGAGGAGGGAGGAAGCGGTAGAGTGAGACATAGGAGACAGTAACTTGGCCAGGACCTTTGCATGTACAGTTATGAAATTCAAGACCTTTCTTGGGTCTCCACCCGAGTAGTAAAATAAAAATCAACTCTAGCCTAATATTCTTCATATAATCCCTGCCTCCATTTGCGGGCACAGACCCAGTCACTACAATGTATTGAGCCAGCAGAGCCCAGCCTGGCGCCACAGCCCAGCAGGGAAGAAATGGGAAACCAATGACAGCAGGGTTTCCCCTATTCTCCTTGGCCTCAGTTCCACTTCTCATGACCCAGAGACCCAGAGGTGTCGTTCTCCGAACAACACCCCCCCACCCCCCACCCCCCCCCTGCAGCTCAGTCCAGCGAGCTCACCTCTCTGATGTCTCCAGCCCCATTCAGAACAGAAGGCTCACTACTCTGTACCCTTTTCTCTTTCGGGATTAAAGGCATGTGCCACCACTGCCCAGCTGTATCTCTTTATTAGCATCCCCAGTATCACTAGAGAAACCTACCTGTCGGCCTCAGCTCCTGCTAGACACACCCATCAAGGGTGGATCTGGTCAGAGTGATAAAATTAAAAAGTGAGACAGACAGGGGCCAGAGGGATGGTCAGTGGTTAAGAGTACTTGCTCTTGTGGAGAACCCACGTTCTAGTCTCAGCATCCACATGCAAGTTCACAGTCATCTATTACTCTAGTTCCAGGGGGTGTGATGCCCTCTGATTGCTTCTGTGGGCACCAGGTACACATGTGGAGCAGACATGCACACAGACAAGACACCCATATACATGATGCTAGGCTCAGACACATACCCGGAGAAGCAATCTCTGAGGCAGAGCTGCCTGGAGCGGCACTGAGGTAGAGGCCCTGATTCTGTAAGGAGCTGAGGAAAGAGCAAGAATTGGGGTCAGAGGAATGCATTTGTTGCTATCTGTTCTGGGCTCTTCAGGGAACCAAGCACTGTGCCCCCAAATGGCCCATATACCCTATGTCCGGCTCAACTCTAACAGATCCAGACTAGAGAGCAGAGAGCTCACATTCAGCAGCATTCTTAGATGGATTAGGCTCTCAGGCTAAATCTCTCTTGGCACCCTGTGTTCTAGACAGAGTTAGAAAGGAGTTGCCTAGAAGATGGGAAAGTTACTTTTCTAACTCTCTCACACAATCACCATTCTAATAATATGCCACAATCTTCTACAGAACAAAGATGGGATCACACTATTCCAAGTCAGCCACTCTTACAGCGCCCCCACTTCACACAGAAGCATTAAAGATCCAGACATTCAAGTAAACTTTTCTTTTCTTTTTTTTTTGGGGGGGGGGGAGTGGTTTTGAGACAGAGTGTCTCTGTAGCTTTGAAGCCTGTCCTGGAACTAGCTCTTGTAGACCAGGCTGGCCTCAAACTCACAGAGATCCGCCTGTCTCTGCCTCCTAAATGCTGGGATTAAAGGCGTGCGCCACCGCTGACCTGGCCATAACCTTTTCCTTTTTTCTATGTTTATGTATGCACGGGTGCATGTGAGCAAGTTTGCGAGCATGTAGAAACTCAGGTGTCTTCCTTGGTCTTCACACTTAGGTGGCAAGCCTTGACCTACTACTAAGCTATCTCCTGGGCCTCTCAAGCAACCCTCCTAAAACACAGCTAAGTAACTCTCAGAGGCAACATTAGAACACAGGCCTAAGGATCCCTCATCCATCCTGCTCTCCCAATGTCCATCCTCTTGTCTTGAAAAGCAATCCCTAAGCAGGGCAGTGGTGGCACATACCTTGGGGGGGGGGGGATGTAGATCCAGAGGCGGACCTCTGTGAGTTCAAGGTCAGCCTGGTCACAGAGCTAGTTCCAGGACGTTGAAACAAACACAAAATAAACAAAAAGCAATCCCCTAGAAGTACTTCTCAGGCCAGGCAGTGGTGCACACCTTTAATCCCAGCACCTGGGAGGTAGAGGCAGGCAGATCTCTGTGAGTTGAGGCCAGCCTGGTCTGCAAGAGCTAGTTCCAGGACAGGCTCCAAAAGCTACAGAGAAACCCTGTCTGGGGATGGGGGTGGGGTGGGAGACAAGAATCAAAAAAGCACTCCTCCTCGGTGTGGAAGTAACACTAGAGAATACTGCATATTTAGATAGCCTTACGCGATGACAGTTCACGTTCTCTGAATACCTGCTTTTGAGCCAGGAGTAAATAAAGTGCCTCTATGTCACCTGTCACCTGTCACAGACTTTTGACCCATCTGAGGAATCAGTCACACCTCAGATCCTATCTAGTACCTTCTAGTGCTAAATTCCTACCTTCGAGCAGCGTAAGGCAGGCTGGTACAAGGGACTTTTCCTAAACAGACTATAGCTCTATATCCTATCTAATACGTGCCAATAAATAAACTATAACTATATATCCTGTCTACTACGGGCCACTGGGCTAGAGACCCCACCTTCTAAAACTCAAACACCCTTCCTCAAGCCTCCTCCAATGGTGAGCAACAGGGTATTTCACCTGAAACACCCTCAGCATCTCTATACAAAACCAGTAAAGAACAGGTCTTGAGTCTCTATTGTAGGGGTTGGTGAGATGGTCCAGGGGTTCGGGGTTCTGACTTCTCTGTAGAGGACTCAAGTTTGGATATAAGTATCCACAGTAACAGCCTGAAACTACCGATAACTCCAGCTCTGTCGCTTCTGGGCTCCTCTCACTAGTACTCGTGGACAGACACACACACAGCACAAAACAGTAAAGAAACTGTTCACAGGTAATTCACCATGGTCCAACCTCACTATTCCCAAGACTAGAAAAGATCAAAGTGCTAACTGTAGTCAGTCAGTCATGGAAAAGTGCATAGATTTCAACCAATCTAGTGACAGATTAATACATCCTGCCTACCAGGAGATCAGGGCATCTTCTCCCACACTGTATTCAGATACTGCCTGGTTGACAAGGTGCACTACACACATGTTAAGGAAGGGTCTGAGCTTGGGCTACACGTTCTATATCACAATGCAATTCTCTAGATCAACAGTCCCAACAGGGCATGCTGGTTTAACCTAAGGATGCCCTGGGCCTTTGTATTTTGTAACACCTTGAGATTTCTCACTCCTTGGCAAGCAGTCACTACTATGAAAACGTCTTAGACAAGGTGGTGGCGCACGCTTTAATTCCAGCACTTGACAGGCAGAGGCAGACGGATCTCTGAGCTGGACATCAGGCTGGTCTACAGCGTGAGTCAGACAGGACAATCAGAGCTACACAGGAGGCAGAGACAGGTGTAGCTCTGAGTTTCAGGACAACCAGTGCTACACAGTGAGACCCTATCTCAAAATAAAAACACTGACTGGTTCCCTCTACTTCTGGAGTTTCTGAAAATTTTGTTTTTGTTTTGTTTTTCGAGACAGGGTTTTTCTGTATAGCTTTGGTGCCTGTCCTGGAACTAGCTCTCATAGTCCAGGCTGGCCTCCAACTCACAGAGATCTGCCTGCCACTGCCTCGGGAGTGCTGGGATTAAAGGTGTGCGCCACCACCACCCAGCTTCCTGACAAATTATTTGCATTAGGCACCTAGAATCCTCGAGGATGGAGGAAGAAGAAACTAAGCAGACAGGAAAATGCCAATCCAGTGACAGGCTTCAGTTCACACAATCCGATTCTAGGAAAAGAACAGTGGCCTTCTGAACACTCCACAGACACACCAATGGACATGTCTATCTCAGAGGGGTAGCCAGAAGAAAGCCAAGCTACTTTCCTAAGTCGGATTCTCATGTCATCTGGCGGTTTGTGGGTTTTGAAGTCCTGAACAAGCTAGCAAAGTGCAGGTCCACAGGGCTAAATCCTCACCGGCTTCCTTTGAAATGCGAATGCAAACGGCCACAGACGAGTCTTGGGTTTAAAATTCCTCAAGGTCTAAATAGTTTCTCACCAGCACAAAATATTTCAGCAGCTAAATGTATTAATAAATGTAAATTCAGGACTTCCAGGCAGATACCTGAAACAGGCAGGTTACCTGAAATGAACTCCAACTGTCTTTGGTGACCTCTTGAGGTGTCCTCATCAAAAGCAATAGCTGCCCTTTGGTGCGACGGGTTTCTCCCAGCGCCCTTCCAGACAGGACTCCTGCGGCTGCTACTACGCTGCAGAGCGCGCTACCTTGCCTTGCGACGGTGGTTCTGCCAGGACTACCAAAGTTCCTTCGTTCCTTCCGAAACCAGCATTGTTCTTTTCCTGGGAAGGCAAAAACATGAGTTAGGGAAGCGTCTTTCCCGCTCCACCACCTTGCCCGGGCTCCGGGGAACTACGCAACATTAAGGTGAAGGGTTCCCAGACTCGTGTCCTCCTGCCAGCGTTTGCCCTTCGCCCTCCGATACCCGCTCCTCCATCACCCATACCCTTTTTCGACTCAGTTTTCCCCTTCTCTCCACACGTGGCGAACCCACCACTTTGCGCTAGTATTTAAGACCTTTCCCCAAAGCCCACGCGGAGAGGCTCGCCCCTCGCCTCGCCCCGCCCCTGCCAGCTCCGCCTCTCTGCCCAATCCCTACCCAACATCCCCATCCCGGCCCAGCCCACCTGCGCGATTCCACACGTGGGTAGCTGGCCCTCAGGCCAGCCCGGCCCGGGCAGCGTCCGGCTTGGTGACAGCGGGACCCCGCCCCCCCTGCCCGCCCTGAGCGCCGCGCCGCCATGTTTACTAAGGGCGGATGGAGAGTCCCATTTGTCTGCATCGTGCTGAGGAAGCGTGCAGTAGACTCCAAGCAACTAAGCGGCGCCTGGGGAGGCCTGCGCTCCCGGAAGAATGGCGGGAGGGTGGGTCTGCCCGCCAGGAACAGGCACCGGGGAGCGCGGACATGAGCCCAGAAGACGGGGAGCAGCAGCCGCGCTCTGGCAAACCATGCCACGCCCCACGGCGCCAGCCGAGGAACTGATTAGGCCACGCCCCAGAGTGGCCGGGTTTGCAAAATTAGGCCCCGCCCCAAGGCTGAGATACCCGGAGGCGGGGCCTCGCGCTCGGCTCTCGCGAGCTGTCAAGAAGGTTGAAAGGAGTGGAAAATGGCGTCTCGCGAGCCAGGCAGTTCTGCGGGCTCGATACCTTGGGTTGCTACCCTGCTCCTGGCTGTGGGCGTGGAGAGGGCCCTGGCTCTACCTGAGGTACAGAAGAAAGCTGGTTTGAGATCTGGCTGAAGAAGGTTGCCGATCGTCAGCCTTGTGTCGCGCTCGCCCGCCGGTGGCTGTCCCAGCCGAAGCTCAGATTTCTCCCTTGAAGATTCCCTAGCCCTGTCCCAGCGGGGATCGTGCTCCCGAGTACTCTCGTAGCGCCGCCGGCCACTGGCACCTTCGCCCTGCCCACATTCAGAGACCTTTGAAATTTGATCTCCTTGCTTTTTGAATAACTTTAAATTGTACTTCCCACTCTAGAGTCCCCGGCTCCTCTGCCAGCTGTCCTTGCACGAATACCGTGCGTGCTGCAATGGCATGACTGAGTACTTTGTGTACCCGCGTGCAGCTCTTTAACACTTGCCAAAGCATGCCTGTCAGGTGGAGAAGTCTCTGGAAAGGACATAATATAGTCAAGTAATGATTCTCCTAGATGAGACCCTTCTTTCGAAAAGACTTGTATAGTGCACTGATTTGGTGCCCTGTGGTAGCCGAAGAAATGGGTTCTATTTACAAAATCCAGCTTTCTGCTCTGTGCCATAGGAATTGTGGAGAGAGTACTGACAACTAACCATTGATTCTTGTTTGTTCTTTTTCTTTCTGGAGTCTTAATAAGGTTTCTTTCTTTTCTACAGATATGCACCCAGTGTCCAGGAGGTGTGCAGAACACGTCCAGAGTAGCCGTTTACTGTGAGAATACATCGGAGTCAATGCAAGCCCGATGCTGCCTGAATCAGAAGGGCACCATCTTGGGGTGAGGGAGGAGAAGACATCCTTGGATACTCACAAAAGTTCACAGACTAGTCTAAGTCTACCGTCTTGCCTAACTGACTTTGGGGATAAATACCGGCACCTAACTGGAGACGTCTAATGCTTGATTGTAAAACGTTTAAATTGGTTGTAGTATTATTCGATAGGTAAAAGATCTCCCCCCCCCCCCGATGACAATAGTTCTTGCCATTTTATAGACTTGTGTGGCATCATTTAAAAATAGCTTTGTTTTTGTTGTTTGTTTCTGAGACAGGGTTTCACTGTTAAGCTCTGGCTGTCCTGGAACTCACAGAGATCCATCTGCCTCTGCCACCACCACTAGGCTTAAAAATAGTTTTATTATAACTCTTTGGATTATTTTTTACTAAAATACATTTACAATTTTCTTTCTTTTTTCTTTTTTTTTAGTCAGGGTTTCTTTGTGTATCTCTGGAGCCTGTCCTGGAACTCGCTCTGTAGACCAGGCTGGCCTCGAATCACAGAGATCCACCTGCCTCTGCCTCCCAAGTGTTGGCTTTCAAGGTGTGTGCCACCACTGCCTGGCACAATTTTCTTAATTTTTTTATTTTGTGTGTGTGTCTGGGTGCATGCACTTGAGTGCAGGTGCTGAAAGAGTTCAGAGGCTTTGGGTCCTCTGCAGCTGGTGGGATAAGCAGCTGTGAGATGTCCAACATGGGCACTAGGAACTGAACTCGGTTCTCTGCAGGATGGATACTCATGCTTATCTGCTAAGCCATCTCTCCAGTCCTTAGTTTTCTTTTGTCTTTTTGTTATAGCTGTTCTGGGTACTAGGTAATGAGCCTAGGACCTTGTGCATGCTATCCAAGCTACCTTTTTTGGTTTAGCTTTTCTTTTTTTTTTTTTTTTAATTATTTATTTATTATGTATATAGTATTCTCCTGCATGTATGCCTGCCTGCCAGGAGAGGGCACCAGACCTCATTACAGATGGTTGTGAGCCACCATGTGGTTGCTGGGAATTGAACTCAGGACCTATGAAAGAGCAGCCTGTGCTCCTAACCTCTGAGTCATCTCTCCAGCCCCCTTTTCTTTTCTTTGGCACAGGATCTTCCTATATAGCTCTGCCCAGGGCATTGTGCATGCTAGACAAGCTATCTTTTTTTTGTTGTTCTTTTCTTTTCTTTGGGACAGGGTCTTCCTATACAGCCCTGTACTTACTGTATAGCACAGCATGGCCTCAAAGTCACATCATTTCTGCATCAGCCTCCCAAGTACTGGGGTTACGGAGTGAGCCATCATACTGACTCCTTTCAGCATTTCATTTTGACACGTGATCTCACTGAATTGCCTACATAACCTTGAACTTGTGATCCTCCTGCCTCAGCTTCCTGAGTAGCAAGGATTACAGGTAGCTTGCACCACCAGGCCAGAAACTAAGTTATATATTTTATAATGTTATGATTTTGTACTTCATGGGCACTCAGTAAATGAAAATAATGTGTTGAAGTTCTTTTTTGTTTGGTTGATTTTTTTGAGACAGGGCTTCTCTGTATAGTCCCGACTGTCCTGGAACTCATTCTGCAGACCATTCTGGCCTTGAACTTAGAGATTTGCCTCTCTTTGCTTTGGAGTGCTGGGACTAAAGGCTAGAAGTCTTTAATGTATAGAAGTTTATAGTTGTCTCTGATAGGAAATATAGTTGTGAAAAACTTAAGTGATTTGCTTTTTTTGTTTTGTTTTTTTCTTTCATTTAAAACCTCTGTGGCTGGGCTTGGTATTTGTAATTTCAGCACTTTGGAGGAGGATCAAGAATTCAAGGTGGGCTAAGAGGTAGTGAAGCACGCCTTTAATCCCACCCAGCACTCGGGAAGCTGTGCAAGGCCAGCCTGATCTACAGAGCAAGTTCCAGGCCAGCCAGGTATTACAGAGAAACCCAAAGTCACCCTTAGCTACTTAGTGAATTTGAGGCTAGCTTGGGTTACATTGAGACCTTGTCTGAAAAAGAAATCATCTCTGTGGGATGCTGACGGGAATGCTGCGCTCCGTGGTTCTTGTCTCTCACCCCAGCATTTGAAAAGCTGAGGCAGGAGGATTGTCACAGGTTGAGACCAGCTTGGGATGCAGAGTGAGACCCTGTCTCAGAACAAAAGAAAATCTCTGTAGTGTGGTGGTTGTGGCTGTGGCTTGGTGATCAAGTGCCTCACACACGCAAGACCCTGGGTTTAATCCCCAGCAAGGGCAACAAAAGCCTCTGGGTCTGAGACTCACAGGATAGGAGCTACTAACCCTGAAGAAAATAACACCAAGTTTCTTCCAATATTTGCACAGTGCATAGCTATACTGGCTAGAACTGTGATTGCAATGTTCTGTATCAGTACTGATCAGCACTGGAGCCACAATGTCATACCTGTTTGTAGTCTTTCTTGTGAGAATGCATTTGAATTTTAGGGAAATTACAATGTCGACATATGTAGCTAGCGCTAACTAGACTGGATAATACACGATTACAATGTCTCCTACCATAGTACTTCTCTTATAGTTCTGAACATAGTGTTGTTCCGTCAGTATTGGATTAAGTGGGGTGTGTGCACAAATACTAACCTTGCTAGGCGTGGAAAAGAGACATAGTTACACTAATCACTTTGTTTCTTCAGGCTAGATCTCCAGAACTGTTCCCTGAAGGATCCTGGTCCAAACTTTTTTCATGCTTCAACTGCTGTTATCATGTAAGCATTTAGGTACTTTCCTAATATGGTGATGGGAAAGTCTTTGGGGATAACTCTTAAAAGGGGTAGATTAATATTAGCATCTAAACCTGTATAACTGAGGGTGAGGGTTGGACTAATAGCCCAGGAAAGCATGTATAAGTGTTAATAGCATGCTGTTCTCAGCAGAACACTAACACTGTGTGCTTTGCAGAGACCTTCAAGCAAATCCTCTCAAGGAAGACTTGACCAACACCTTCCGTAGCTTTACCCAGCTCCAGACTCTGTGAGTAATAGACTGGGAAGAGGGAATCATAGATCTTAATTGTTAGTCAACATCGGAGCTGCTGTTGCTACTGTGTGTGTGTGTGTGTGTGTGTGTGTGTGTGTGTGCATAGATGCTTGAGTGAGCTCATATGCACATGTGTATGTGTGTTGCTGGTGAATGTTTGTTCAGCTACTGAGTTACACCCTAAACTCTTTGGCTGTGTGTTTATGATCATGTGTGCTGTCTTCAGGATATTACCACCAGATGTCACCTGTCCTGGAGGTATTAATGCCTGGGAAAGTATTACCTCTTTCACGGACAAGCAAATTTGCCAAGGGCAGAAGGACCTTTGCAATAGCACTGGAAGCCCAGGTATGCTGTGGAATGGCCATCTCACTGGCAAGTCCTTTTCCTTCTTTCTAAGGTGACGTCATTCTCTGCTTTAGAAGAATAAAGATGCTAAGTGCCTTTCTGTTTGGAGTTCTCTATTCCCCTATAAAAGTTTTAATTATTTTTTTTTAAGATTTAATTATATATCATGTATACAGTGTTCTGCCTGCACACCAGAAGAGGGCACCAGATCTCATTACAGATGGGTGTGAGCCACCATGTGGTTGCTGGGAATTGAACTCAGGACCTCTGGAAGAGCAGCCAGTGCTCTTAACTGCTGAGCCATCTCTCCAGCCCAACGTTTTAATTATTATTGTTAGTGATATAGTCTGATTATTTATGATCTTCTATTTTTTTGTTTGTTTTTGTTTTTATTTTCTGAAGCAGAGTCTCTATTCCTAGCTGATCTGGAACTTGTGTAAACAGATTGGCCTTCAGTTCACAGAGATCTGCCTGCCCCTGCCTCCCAAATGCTGGGATTTGGGCATCTGCCACCATGCCCAGCTTTTTTCTCTACTTTTGACCTAGAAATAATAAAAGATCTAAGCAGATATTTGAGAGAAATACCTAATGAGATTCAGTGATACCCTCCCCTCCCTGTAGCATGCTTCTGAGATCAGGGAGACTGGCTTGTCAGGGTCACATGGCCTTAGACTCCAGTGACGCTTGTTTTCCTCTGGCTCCCAGAAATGTGTCCTGAGAATGGATCTTGTGCACCTGAAGGTCCTGGCCTTTCGCAGTGCGTTTGTGCTGATGGTTTTCACGGATACAAGTGTATGAGGCAGGTAAGGAACTGGACCCTTTAGAAATAGAGGGATGCATTTGGCAAGAACCTCTCAGAAAGAGACAAGGGAATGCCGAGATGAGGGGATGCATGGCGGAGAAAAACTAGGTGGCGGAAAGTGACCCTGCATATACTGCTGTGACTGTTTGTTTGTCTGTTTGCTAATCGCAGGGTTCCTTTTCACTACTTATGTTCTTTGGCATTCTGGGATCCACCACGCTAGCCATCTCTGTTCTACTTTGGGGAACCCAGCGCCGAAAGGCCAAGGCTTCATGAACCACACAGGGCTTCCTGCTCACCTGAGATCACCCTGATCGTGACAAACATGACTGGCCAGGGGGCGGATCCTGCTCAAAGCTGAAGCGGCCATTGATAATGAAGGAAGGTGTCAAATTGCACCACCTCGGAGTGATGGACCCTCGGTTCAGGAGTGGACGAGTACTTGTTTGTATTATTGACTACAATAAACACCTTTTCCCCATTGTTTTAGGGACTAGCGCCATACCTTCGCGTGTTTCTTGCTTGAGGGGCTGGTTTGGGACGGTCGGGTTTCTCGGGTCTCCAGGGTTTTGCTTGGTGCTCGGTGTGATGCTGAGGACCCACCCCATGGTCCCGCCCCTTACGTGCCCGGCCCCGCCCATCACGCTACCGGCTGCCTGCGCCGTCGCAGTCGTGCTTCTGCTCAGTACGATTAGGGCTCCCGCCTGCCGCGCCCGCCTGCTCTCCAGCGCTCCGCGCAGCG